ATTAATGGATACGACTTTGTGTAGGCTATGAATGAGGACAACCATGTGTTCAGTTGGGGACTCAATCATCGGGGACAGTGTGCTCGAGATGTGACCCAAAAGGGGGTGTATTTAAAACCGCAACAAATATCGCGTTTGAATGACAAGAATATCGCATATATTTGCTGCGGTGGCCAACACTCCCTGGCCATCACCACCGGTGGACAGGTGTACGGGTGGGGTAACCACTTTTTCGGGCAAATTGGTTGCGCGGGTAATACAAAAACACCGATAAGTACACCAGTTTTGATACAATTTGAGCATGGTCATCAAATTTGGAGTATTTATAGCTCGTTTAATCAGTCGTTCGCCATTACTGTCAAGGGTTTGGTATTCAGTTGGGGCGACAATGAGTATAATAAATTGGGCCATGATGCTAAATATAAACATATTAAATCACCCAAATTAATTGCTGACCTAGCTGACATTACCGCAATCAGCGCCACCATCAATAATAATAATAACGACTTCACGTGCTTTTTGTCTAAAAATAATTACATCTATTTTTGCGGCAAATATATGGATAACACTGAAAAAGCTAAGTTACAAAGTGTCCCGGTACTAATGGAAAAGTTGACACAAAATGTGCAACAAATGGAAAAGTTTTACTCGATTTGTTGCTTTCGAAATGAGGTGATGCCGTTTGTGAGATTGTATCACCTTGTAAAGTGATTGAATATGACTATGATAATTTTGTCGATTTCTATGCCAATGAAAGGCAATTCAGTTATAATACATTACGAGTGAAATAAAGTCTCAATTTCAACAAGCAATAAGCATACTTTCACCGGATACTATTAATTCAGTTGATGGTAAAGATATTAATTATATTAAATATCAATATCTAAAGAGTAATTATTTTATAAGTAGGACAATCTAGAGCCGAGAATAAATCACCTACGACCCAAAATTCAAATACAGGTTTTAAAGGTTCTACCCTAAAAGGCCTAAAACCAAAAAAGCCTAAACTCTAATAACTAACTGACCAGTGGACATATTTTTAATTAAATTAGTGTAATAGAGGTGTCTTAATCTAACCTAACCATACATGACCTAAATTAAGTCAAATGATCATTGGTCAGTTAGTTATTCAAGTTTAGGCCTTTTCGGTTTTAGACCTTTTGGGTGAGTCCTGTTTTAAAATACAGTATATCTGTATTTTTCACTCGGGTTACACCATTCAAATATTGGCTTATCTTAAAAAGTTTTTAAGATTTTATTGCTTACGACTAAATATAAAAATATTTTTAACTTAAAATCATAAATTTAAGATTTTAATATTTAGTTGACAACAAAAAATATTAAATGCCTTTTAAGATAAAACAATATTTGACTGGTATAATCCGAGCTAAAACTATAGATATTTTCAATGTATATTAATTTCAATCTTTCAAAATATTTTCGTTAGAATTAAGAAACAATTTGTTTGAAAATCATTATAAAAATCTCTTCGAGGAGTTGCTGGATAAACCTCTGGGCTCGGGAGGTTTTGGAACCGTATTTAAAGTGAAACATAGAATCTATGATCAAATATATGCCGTCAAAAGAGTCGAAATCCAAGGTTCATATCAATTGAAACTAATTAAAAATAAAAATTATTAAATATATTTCAGATCTTTCTGATGAACGCAAACAACGAGTGTATAATGAAGTGAAAAATTTGGGAAAAGTTCGCTCAGAATATTGCGCTCATTATTACAACTCATGGCCTGAAAGCAAATACCTCTACATTCAGATGGAGTTCTGTTCGCAGAATTTGCGGAATATTCTTGCGGTGAAACCACACGTATTTGGGCGACAATCGGGACAAGTCATGGATTTATACGAGTATTTCGTTTCGTGCGAAATATTCCGTCAAATTTTGGAAAGTGTTCAGTATTTGAATGAATTGAATCCACCGGTCATTCACAGAGACCTCAAACCCGAAAACATATTGATTGCCGAAAATGTAAGGAATGGCAGATTTATTAAGTTGTGTGACTTTGGTTTGGCTACAGTTCACGATAAACACACTATCAGTAAAGATTATATGAGACATACCTCACGAGTGGGAAGTATGCAATATATGGCACCCGAAGTACTTCAGGGCAGGAGATATGACCACAAATCGGATGTCTATTGTCTCGCAATAATGGGTTCAGAAGTATTGGATTTCGACTTATTTTCCATTGATTTAAATGAGTATAACTTTAATCAGAATTTTAAAATTTTGTTTTTTAAAATATATATTTGTATACTTTTTATTTACAGTCTTCAACCCTATTCACAAAGGGATGTCATACTGAACGCACCGGTAGATAAATTGAAACGAATTCTGTATTCAATGGCATCGACCCCAGCATTCAATCTAAGGCCGGACTGTTCGCAAGTATTGCGAGAATACAGCGAATGGTCTGTCGATCGGAATATTCTTACGAGAAGTGAATTCCGGCTATTATTACAAACACTTAAATCACACGAAAACACATTTTTCTACGATTTTTTTGCAAATTATTTGCAATAATTTATTGAATTTTCTATCATTTTATTGGCTGTAGATTAGGACATAATTTTAAAATAATATACAGTATATATATTGTTCAGTCTGGTTAAAAGTGATATTTTTGTTAAACTTAAAATTAATTGATTATCATAAATAAATATAATTTAAAAATACAGAATATAACTAACAAATAGTGATTTTTATCATGATATTATTTCTTTGTTAAAATCATTTAATTATAATTATAAAAGTTTAATATTAAACAAATAATTTATTTTAATTATAATTTTAATAATAGCTCTTGCAATTATATAAATGTATCCATCTACCCAAAGTAACAAATTACTTTATAGCAATTTAATAAATTAATTAATTTCGTGAAGTTAGTTTCATAATTATTATTTTGTAAAATGTTTTATCACTATTAAATATCAAATATAATTCTTATTAGGAATTTTATAAATGTTCAATGCAAGTTACGTTATAATATAAAAATATATGTACTAATTTGTACATTGTACGTATAACTATAATAGGCATTTAATTTAATAACCATAAATAAACCGGAAAATTACTCATTACAGGAACTTACTATTTATATAAAAACAAATATCTATCATTTTTATTTCCACATAAACCTTTATGGATGTCAACTAAACTAACTTAATATGAAACTAACGGTGCTATCAATAATAACCTGTCTATCGTTTGCTACGGTTTATAGTCGTAGGCTAGTAATAGGTGGTCGCGATGCCCGGCCAGGTGAGGCACCATGGCAAGTTTCATATAGGGTCCTTGGTAAATCTGGCGATTTCCACATGTGTGGTGGTTCCCTAATCAATGCCAATTGGGTGATCACCGCGGCACATTGTTGCGAAAGGTAAGCAAGCTATATTTTTAATATTAAATACGATTAAAGTAATCTCATTAAATTAAAATTATTATAAAATTTTGCAAATGTTTTAAAAAAAATTATATTAATATTATATTACGAGTATATAGTATTCTAAAATGATCAAGGTATATTATATAATGTACAGTCTATTTTTAAGCACACTTGTATACGTATTAAGACATTTGTACTTTTGGTAGTTAGCTCAGCCTAGAAATTAATTAAATTTTATTAATTTTCGACATAATAGACCGCTCAAAAACCACCTCAACGAGACCATAAAGTGGGGCGGTTTGAAAGTGGACAGGTTACCTTTCCAGTCAAAAGTGGCCAAACGTATCATACATCACAAGTACAATATGAATGCCACTGAGAATGACCCTAAAAGGCTCTCGCACGATTACTGCCTAATAAAACTGGTCACACCCGCCGTGCAAAGTGCCATGGTCAAATTTGTTAAACTAGCAAAGGGCTACCCCAAAACAGACAAAATGGTGCTGGTTACAGGGTGGGGCAATACAATGGTGGACGGGGTTAAAAATCCAATTAATTTACAAGCTGCTGAATTGCATGTAATTGACCGGAAAAGTTGCCAGGGCAAATGGCCAGGGATCGACGCTAGTAATGTTTGCGCCGTTAGCAGTGATAAAAGTGGCTGTAATGTAAGTACCAAGGCTATTAAGTATTATTTAAAAATCTAAAAATATAAGTTTAAATTTATACATAATATAATTAATATTTAAAAAATATTAATTTATTTATCTTATGTGTAAATTATATATTGCTACAGGGTGACTCTGGTGGTCCATTAACAATAAATGGTAAATTAGTGGGCGTGGTTTCGTTTGGTTTCCCGTTTTGTCACCCTGGAACAAAGCCAAACTCATTTGCATATGTACCCGGTGTAAAACGTTGGATAAATCAAACAATTAAAAATAATTAGTGTTGTTAGTATGTGGAAGTATAATTTTGATTAATAATTAATACAATATGAATTATTTTTAAAAATATATTTAATGTTTGTTGAGAAATAAATGATATGAATATTATTTATATTATGATAAAGTTTATTATTTAATATTATTATAATATGTATTTTACTTAAATTTAATTTGCAGAGCTCATAGTATAGATTCAAAGAATATTAGTTTTCCAAGTTTTGAAATTCATAGTATAAAATGTGTTATTGTATTAATTTATAATTTATTTTTTAATTATAAGATATTATATAAAATTCTTTAAAATATCGTTTCAATTATTGCATCTCAACTCTGCCATTGTATTAATATTAAAACATTTAAAACTTTAAAATTATTATTTACTTTTTAAAATCAATAAAACGCTATATTTTCTAAAATCTATGGAATTATTTTTAAACTGAAATTAATATTATAATAATTGAATTATATTGAATTATAACTGAAATTAGTTAATTATAATAATTCATATTACCATAAATGATATATAGTACTACAATAATTGTATAATTGACGTTGACAACACCATGATGCACAATTAAAAATTCACGCTAGTCAAATTGTATCCATAAATAGTATGCTGCTTTAATATTATTTACAATTAATCACTACCGGATATAAGAATCTCCATATAAGTAAAATAATTATAAATTACTACTAATGATTTCATAATAATTTCAATGTAATATTGTTAATGGCAGTATGCACATTTGTATTACACTTTTAACATTTACATATAAATACTATATAAAGGAAATTCTTAAATAAATCCATAAATAGATAATTTTACCAAATTATAACTATAATGTAAACATGTTTAATATTATTTAGACAGTATATGATTGCATTTAAGTAATATAATAAAAATATGTTAAACTTATGTTGTTTACTATTTTTAATGCAAATAGAAAATGGCCTGTCGTTGCAATTTAATAAATCATTACGGCTTGTATGGAGCGATGAGTTTGCTACACATTACCTTGATACTAAAAAGTGGATGATGGGCAATAGAAATGATTGCGATAGTAAGCAAATTGTTTTTTTTGAAAAATATTTATTTTATTTTAATGCTTTTATTTTCTCTCTCTCTCTCTCTCTCTC